GGGGTGGGGGGTGAGGGCGAGAGGACACCACATGCAGGACGACGTCGAATTTCGGGGTGTTGAGGGTTGGGGATTGACGTTGTGAGATGGGAGGGGGGTTTGCTTAGGGGTTGAGGCATGATGAGAGAGGTCAAATGCTTGCCTGGGAAAAGCCCCCTGCAAGGGTGCGGCACGAGGAGCGCGCGGTTCACCTGTGCTCTGCGATGCGGCGCTTGATGGTCTCCTCAATGTCTGCGGTGCCCTCCTCGGTCGGCGCCGGCGGCGGCCTGCACGGAATTTCAAGGTGGGGGCACGGCGAGGGTAATGCTGGCAGCCAGGACGATGGGGGGGTCGAGCTGCAGTCGGAAGGCACACAGGCAGCGCCAACGTTGCACTGAACTAATTAAAGGTACGACACCTTGTCATCCTCCTATACATGCAATCCTCCATCAGTATCACTCCTGCCGCCCTGTGTACCCCCTCCACACTCGCAGGCGCACGCGTACAATATCGCATATACCCATGCATGCAAGCAAACACGTGCACAAACACACACACACACGCAAGCGCACACACACACACACACGCATGCACACACACACACACACACACACACAACACACACACACATGCGCAGCGCAGGCGGCCGCCTCCACGCAAGCGCGCACGCCCTTGCCAACAGGCTCAGCGGCAACCCCCAGCCTCCTTCACCGCCGCCGCCCCACCTGGCGGTCGTCTCAAAGTCCATGTCCACCTCCAGGGCGCTGTTCATCGGCCGCCGCCCCGCGGAGGCCTCCCCCACCAGCTGCCACGGCCGCTCGCCGACCGCCTCCTCCTCCAGGTCGCGTATCCGCTCCTGGACGGTTTTTCAACAGCGGGTTCGGCGGGCGGTGCGGTGGGTTGCGGCGATGGCGGCGGGGTCGGTCGATGTCACAAGGAGTCCACTTCCTGCGCCGAACGAGCAGTTGACTGGCTGCATACCAGCACACCAAAGCACACTCCGCGGTTCCACAGTTGGCGCTCCATGGTTTCAGGGCCCTGTGAAACGCGCAGCCCACCTGCATGCGCAGCAGCCGCCGCTCGTGCGTGGACAGCCGCCCCGCGCCCTCTTCGCCCTCCTCAGATCCACTCGGGCCCTCCTCCTCGTCCGCCTCATCATCGTCGTCGCCGCTGCCGCCGCCGCCGCCGCCGCGCCGCCGCGCCGCGCGCTTGCCGCCGCCGCGGCCGTGCTGCTGCTGCCCGCGGCCGCCCGCCTCCTCCTCCTCGTCCTCACTGCTGCCCGCCGCATCCTCATCATCCCCCTCCTCCTCGTCCTCCTCTTCCTCCTCCTCTTCTGACTCACTCGCCCCCTCCATCTCATCATCCCCCTCCTCCTCATCCCCCTCACTCCTCTCTGCCTCCGCGCCCCGCCGCCGCCGCGCCCGCGCGCCCCGGCCCTCCTCGTCCCCACCCGCAGGCGGCGGGCTGCCGCCGTCGTCCCCAAAAAAGTCGGCGTACATCGCCGTCGCCGCCGCGTCGTCGGGCCCCTCCAAATCAAGATCCACATCCGACCCGTCCTCGTCGCTGCCGATCCCCGCCGCCGCGGCCAGCAGGCCGCCGCGCCGCCGCTTGGCGGGGGCCTGCTTCGCGCCGGCGCCGGCGGTGCGGCCGACGAGGGCGGCGCTGCTGGCCAGCAGTGTTCGCATCTCCTCATCCTCGTCTTCCAGGTCAGAGCCGCCTATAACAGTGTACAAGCCGGGTTGCATTTGGGACATTGTTATGTTGGTGAGGGTCGGTGGGGGCAGGTGGGGTTGACCGGTGCAACCCGGGTATGATCTGGCGCCACACACCAAGGCAGGGACTGCATCACTTTGAGGGTCGGAGCCGAGCGCAAAGCACGAACATGCCCTGATCCGTTGCCTCACCCCTAGTGCCCTGAGCGCCAGCAAGACCCACGCGGCCGCATCGCGCAAGGCAGCAACTGGGGAAGCCCTCCCACCGCACTCCGCCCGCCCCCACCTGCGTCGCCGCCCGCGGGGCCCTCCTCATCCCCAGAGTCGTCGTCATCACCGCTGCTGCCGCCGCCGTCGCCGCCGCTGCCGCCGTCCGACGCGTCCCCGGCCGCCTCGCGCTCGGCCTGCTCCAGGAATGCCTCCATCTCGTTGAGCCGCATGAACCTGGGGCGGAGGATGAGGTGGGGGGAGATTGCGAGCAAGACGTCAACAATTGATTGTCTAGGTCTACAGGGGCATGCAGGAAGGTGTGAGTGTCTGTCGGAAGGGGGGGGGTGGGAAAGCAAGTCGATCCTCCAGGGGGTGATTCAGCGCGCAATGCCTTGAGGCTGCGTTGCTTTGTTGGTGGTTGGGCGTGCTGCGGCAGGTGCATGGCGGGTACTGGCATGGAGGGCACATGCGCCAGCACCCAGAGGATTGGGGGGGAGGGGCTCCAAACAGGAAGCGTTGCTGCAACCCTGCCCGGCCCAGCGGCAGCAGGCGCCGCCCGCCATCGCAACCCGCCCGGGCCTCAAACGCCCGTAGGCGCCGCCCCTTCGCACAGGAGGCACCCCCTCACCGGTCCTCAAATGGCAGCCGCCTCTGCCCAGCCCTGCCGCCACCGGCCCCCAGCTTGGCACGCTTGGCGCCGCGCCGCGCGCCGCCCTCCTCTTCGCTGCTGCCGTCCTCGTCGCTACCGCCGCCATCCTCCTCCTCATCGTCCTCGTCGCCGCTGCCGCTGCCGCTGCCGACAGGCCGCTCGCCCTCAAACTCAGCCAGCAACTCATCCACATCACGCTCGACCTCCGGCGGCACGAGCGACAGCGCTGCGCCGCCGCCGCCCTCGCTGCCGGCCCCTCTCCGCCGCCGCCGCCGCCGTCCGCCGGCCCCCTCCTCTTCCCCCTCGCCCCCGAGCGCGGCGGCTGCGACGCGGCTTCCCATCAGGCGCCCCACGGCGTGCTTTGCCTGCCGCAGCAGGGGCACCAGCTGCAGGTCCATCTGCAGCCACACCTGCTCTGCATCAAATCCCTCCCCCACATACAGCTCCACCTCCGCCTCTGCTTCGCCCGCGCTCGCGCCGCCGCCGCCGCCGCCGCCGCCCGCGTCCGCGCCGGCGCCGCTGCTTTTTGCGGCGCTCCGCGCCGCCGCTGCTGTGTACTTGAGCAGTGCCTGGGGTGGACAAAATGCAAGTTCGTCAGGAGAGGGGGCCGTGTGGATATTTGTGGGCGGGGAGGGCAGGTGCAGCCCACCAGGCGTCAGCTCACGCGGTTCCAGCGGGCTGCCAGGACGGCACGCATGGCAGGGCCGCCCGCTCTTCCACTGGGTGCTGCAACGCCCGGCGCCCTGCGAAAGCCAGCCAGCGCTGCTTGTTGATGCCGACACGCGAGGTCTCCCGCCGCGCGGAAACGACCCTGCCGGTTCCACCCCCATCATCCAGCCGGCTCACCCGCGCCGCCTCGCGCGCCGCCCCTGAAATGGACGCGTCCGGCTGCAGGAATGCGGCGGGGTCGGCCGCGCGCGCCCCCAGCGCATCAAGCGCGGCCCTCAGCCCCGGCTCCTCCTCAAAGTCGTCTAGAGGCTCGGGCTCCTCCTCCTGCTGCTGCTGCTGCTGCTGCTGCTGCTGCTGCTGCTGCTGCTGCTGCTGCTGCTGCTGCTGCTGCTGCTGCTGCTGCTGCTGCTGCTGCTGCTGCTGCTGCTGCTGCTGCTGCTGTTCCTGCTGCTGCTGCTGCTGCTGGTGTGAGTGGCCGTTGGCGAGCCCGCCAACGTCGTCGCCATCCACAGCGCCCTCCTCCCTGTCGCTGGCGCCGCCGCCGCCGGCCGCCGCTGCGGGCTCCTTCTCGTCCGCCTCTTCATCGCTATTGCCGGGTGGCGGAGACGGGCTGTGAGCCTGTTGCTGCCGTCGGGTGCGCCGCGCCGGGCCGGACGGCTGTGCCTGCTGCTCGGGTTCCTGCTGCTGGGGCTCCTGATCAAGCTCTTCTGTCGTCCCGCCGTCCTGGGGGAAGGAGGCGAGCGAGCAGCCGCGTCTCATACAGCGACAGGGCGGGTGGGGGCGCAGCGGCGGCGGCGGCTGCACGCAGAGGCCGCCGCAGAGCAGCGAGCAACGGCAGTATCACGAAGGGGGCGCAGCAGGGCAGTCTGAATACATGTAATCTACTCTATGACGGTTCAGCGCACCTCTGTTTCCCGCTTGGCGCGCCTGGTTGACACCATGGCTGGGATGATGCTCCCAGGGGCCGCTTGTTGGAGAGTACCTTGCGATAGCGCTGAAAATAACGCGTATGACGCGAGTATATGGCTAGCTAAGGGCACCCGATCAGCACTCTTACACACCTGTCGCACTCTCTCGCTCACTGCACCAGACTTTTCGCCCTGTCTCCTGCGAAACATATCCCATCAGCTGGACATTACTTCTCACACTTGAAGTCATTCAACCCTTTAAGCGTAGCCCCTTAGTTGCGAGTAGATCCTGGCAGCGAACAACCTGAAAGCCCGCTGCTCAACTCTCGAGCTCTGGCTGTCTTAACAGACCGGAGACCAACTTGAGAACGTGGCTGGTGGCGTAATGGCGACAAAGGGCTGTATGACACGGCTGCAGAAGGAGTACAAGGCTCTGCAGCGGGTGCGCGTGCTGCGCCAAACGGGTGCAGCGCTCGGCACTGGCGTGGGACCGGCCCTTTCGTCGTACAGTGCATGCAAGCATGACACGAAGCACAGGGTATATGGACGGGCGAACCAGCCCTGCAGCAGGCGGTCCCACCAGGCCCGAACCTCACAGTCAGCGCGTGGCGACCCCTCACGCTGCATTCGGCGGGACACCCCCGCCCCCCTCCCTCGTCTCCCAGGAGCCAGTGCCGCACCTGACGGCGCACCCAACCACCAATCTGCTAGAGTGGCACTTTGTCCTGGAGGGCGCGGCGGGCACAGACTATGAAGGCGGAGTGTATCACGGCCGGCTCGTGTTCCCACCCACATACCCCTTCAAGCCCCCCTCCATTCTCATGGTCACCCCAAACGGCCGCTTCGCCACCAACACCAAGCTCTGCCTGAGGTGCGGGCGCTCACGCATGCATATTGCTCGGCGCCCAGCGCAGGCGGCGGGCCGCGCAGCGGCGGCGCGCGTAGCTGGGGTTGTGGGGCAGCAGCAGCAGCGCCGCGGCGCTGCGAAAGTGACCGTCGCTCCTGGCGGCGGCTCGGAGCGTGCGTGCACCATCTTGCACCATGTCGCAGCGGCCTATGGAATCAGATCCATGCCGCGGACTCATAATCACCAATCCTCTGCACTTTCCAGCATGCAGCAGGTCCTCAGCCACAGCGCGCGCGCGTGCGCACACACACAACACACACGCACGCACGCACGCACACACGCACACACACAAATGCACACCCATCCTGCCCTCATGTATGCACGACTCCTCAGCCGGCCCCTCCTACACACATCCCCGCACACCAAACAACAGCATAACCGACTACCATCCAGAGTCCTGGAACCCCATGTGGTCTGTGGGCACCATCCTCACGGGTCTGCTGTCCTTCATGTACGACAGCCAGCCAACCACAGGCAGCATCACCACGACCAAGGCGGAGAAGGTGGGGTGCGCTGCATAGGGGGGGATGCGGGCTGGTCAGTACGTCGGTGATGCTGGTTGGTTGTCTGCGGGATGTTTGGAGGAGTGCGCTGATCTACAAGCTGCGACAGTGTCAGGCAGCTGGGGGCTGCCTGCAACTGTGAAGAGGGTCAAAAAGGTCATCTGGGCTGGGCTGGCTGCTGGCGCTGGTCCGTGGCGCGGGGTTGTGAGACACTGTGTCAGGGGCCGCGGCGCGGTGTGCTCTGAGCCCTTGCTCAATCTCTCGACCCGCGTTGCATCGCCGACCCTTGTGGCCCCCTCTCCTCGCAGCTGCGCATGGCGCGGGAGTCCCTAGCGTTCAACTGCAAGAACTCTACATTCCGCAAGCTGTTCCCAGATTGGGTGGAGGAGCACGCCAAGCGGCAGGCGGCGGCAGCGGCACCACCCGTGCAGCCCACGGCGGCGGCGACGGCGACCGGGCAGCAGCAACAGAAGGCGTCGCCGCCAGGGGCCGCGCAAGCAGGAGCAGAGGCGGCAGCGGGGTTGCCACAGCAGCAGCAACAGCAGCAGCATGCGCTGGGCGCGGCGGGCGTGGCGGAGGGCGGGGGCGGGGCCCGGGGGAATGCGGGCGCGCCAGCTGCCGGCGGGTCGAGCATGTTCACGGCGGCGGTGGTGGTGCTCGTGCTGGCGATTGCAGTGTTCCCGCTCTGCAGCAGCGACATGCGCGCCAGCCTTGCGCTGCTAAAAAGCAGGCTCTTTTCACCAGACAGCCTGTAACAGCTCCTGGGCACTTGTTACCCGCTTGTTTTCTTCTTTGATTCCTTCTCTCTGGTTTGCGAGCTGATGGCCAGCGATGGCGCTGTCGAAGGCAAGTGGGGCCCCAGCAAGGCATGACTCATGGCCAGAGCCCTAGCGCATGTCAGTCAAATCGGCACAACGGCTGGGCAGACCGGCCAACTTGGCAGGTGCACCAGCGCAGGTACAGCGCGGGATACAATCAGCCTTCCGACAAAGCGCTGCGCGGATTGCCCAAAAGGCGCGCGTTGTCCGGGGTGCTGCACGTGGTTGTATGCAGTACCCCTGGCGTATGCTTCACTTGCAATGCTGCAGCGCAAGTTGGCGAGTGCGGCAAGGCTTCAGCCGCCAGCGGGGCCAGGTCAGCAGCAATGGCAACGGGTGGCAGTGGTCAAGATTGATGTGGCGATTACAGGCGCACAGGGCAACAGCGCAGCAGCAAATGGTGCAGAAACGTAGTTAGAGGTTGCTGGTGTAGAGAGGAGCGTGTTGGTGCCCCAGCTCGGACCCACAGGCGGCGCAAGCGCAGCAGTGGAAACGTGTAAAATGTATGGGGGGTCAACCTGGAGTTGATGGACGCTTGGCAGAATTGACTTGCGCAATCTTACATCCTATTAGGACATTTGCACCCATGTTCCTGTGTATTATGGCCGAGCAAAGCAGTGTCTGTGTCAAGACCATTCTGTTTGTAAGCACAATCATGACAGCGGCAGGCGTGTTGATGGAGTGGGATCAGGGTGGTGCCAGCACACAGGGTGCAAAGCAAAGCGTTGTTTGTTTGAATGGCCATCTGCCACACCATCCACCTTGGTGCGACAATGACAAGCAAGCAAGTACTATTACTACCCAGCGCGTCATGCGCACACATCCTAGAGCCACTATGTCACTGCAAAATGTATCGTTGCGCTAACACAAGTCGTGATACCTTGCTTTGTACCTGTGTTTGTCCCTACCTGCAGGCTTCTACCATTCAATTGTAGCAAGCAGTTGTTGTAACGCTGGGCCTGCCAGCAAGTGCAGTTCAACCCGGCTGACAGGTGCACATTCCAGTTGATTTTTGTACCGTTCCCAACAGAATGCGCCTCCATGAGTTCCATAAAACACACGGTAGGCATGTTGGCAAGCAGTGGACCTTGGAAATGTCAACGGTCATGCCAATGCAGGACCTCCCTGTGTGCGGTTCCCTGCTCAGGCCTAGATAACGGCGGCAATCAGGCCCGAGACTTTGTTGCCGTCAATAATAAGGGAACGTCATAGATGTAGCCATAGTCCAATAGTACGATGGTCGCCTCGGACAGGGTCCCTTGCGTGTCGACCGAGTCGTTCGACCTCGATTGGGTGTTGAACGAGCTTCAGGAACCTTCAACACCTTCTAGCGCCTCACTGATGGACGCTGTGCTTGCTGGCCAGGCTGGGCTGCCTAACGGGACTGGCACAACTGACGCCATCTTGGCGGCGCCCTGGGCACGGCCGGGACATTATGATGCGCCCCTGCTCGCACCACAGCCGTGCTCTGAGAGCAATCAGGCGCTGACCCTGTGCGCGCCGGCAGCACTTGTCCCGTGTGGTAGCACCTCGGGCCAGTACGTGTCGCACGGTCAGGAGTCGCAGGTGCTGCAGCTTTTGATGCACCAGCACCAGCTGCAGTTGCCGCAGCCACCGCCGCAGCTGCAGCAGCAGTGGCAGCAGCCATGGCTATCAGGCACTTGCGAGCCCTCCCCACAGCATGAGCAGCAGGTGGGGCACCTTCAAGGCAGGAGATTGCTCAACAAAAGGCTGTTGCCGGCCTAGTGTTGCGTCAAGTGCTGCATTGGTCACGAGCGTGTTGGCTGCTCACCGCACCTTTTGATTGTGATCAGCAGCAATTCCATGCATGTGCAATGAACCCCGCCATTGCCACCCCCAGGATTGTTGGCACGCCCAGCAGCAGCTGCAGCTGCAGCTGCAGCAGCCGCAGCAGCAGCAGCAGCAGCAGCAGCAGCAGCAGCAGCAGCAGCAGCAGCAGCAGCAGCAGCAGCAGCAGCAGCAGCAGCAGCAGCAGCAGCAGCAGCCGCAGCTGCCGCAGCTGCCGCAGCTGCAACAGGACCAAGGCGAGCTGGGCTCCGTGGGGGAGCTGCTGACGCAGCAGGCAGCTCTGCAGGATGTTCCAGCAGCTGCATTCAACCTGCCCATGACCGAGCGTAGCGCGCTGCAGCGTATCGCAAGTTTTTTGGTGCTGGTCTCGGTCCTCGCTGACAGCTCTGACCAGCGGCCGCTGCCCAAGCCGCTGCGCAGCCGCGCCGCCATCCAGCAGCTGTTGGAGAGCGGCGCGGGCGGCTGTTTCCTTTCGGGCAGCTTTGGTGCGAAAGAGGACCAGCAGGGGGCGGAAAGTAGGGGCCTGCAAACACCCATACTGCCAGTTGGATGCAGCGGCGACGGCGGCGGCGGCGGCGACCTGGCCACATTCAACATTGGCGGGCACTCGTCTGGGACGCTGCGGCTCGCGGGCAAGTGCGGTCAGCTGTACTGCTTTGTTTCCTCACCGTCACGGGCTGTCCAGGGCAAGACGGGCCGCGGCGGTGGCGGTGGCGGCGGCGGCGGCGGCGGCGGCGGCGGCGAGGGTGCCGCGTCAGGTGCTGTGAGCGTGCGGCAGTTCGGGGTCGTGCTGTCGCCCCATGCCAACTTCGCACAGCGGGTCAAACCCAAGGGCGAGGGCGAGGGTGAGGGCGAGGGCAAGAGAAGGCGCGTTGGGACGGCCAAGAGCGAGGGCAAAGGCACGAGCAAGCAGCGCACACACGGCAACGCGGCTGCGGCAGGGGTGCCGCCGCCTCCGCCGCGCCCAGTGGCGGGGAACAACCAGCGGCCTGCTGAGCAGACGGCTGCCACGGCGGCGGCGCGCATGGACAATCTGGCCCAGGGGAAGCCTCCCCCTTCATTCAAGAAGTGGGAGGGGCACGATGCGTGGATTGCGCCCGCGTTCCTCTACCGCTACCACAGCGGCGAGGACGCGTGCGGCCGCGACATCCCCACCATCGCAGACGACCTGCGGGATGTGGCGGCCTACGTCGGCCGCCTGAAGGGCTGCGGGTCGTGAGAGCGCCGGGTGCGACGGCGGCGCGCGCTGCGGCCGCTGCCTTGTTTGGTGGCGGCCAGGGCTGGCTGNCAGGCGGTGCCGACTGCCGCAACTGCCGCGGCACCAAAATCCAGCGGCGCCACCACAGTGGGTCAGGACAAGCACGGAAGCTTGGATGCTGGCCTGTGAAGTAACAAAGATGTTGCAGAGTCAACGATACTCTGCAGCATCTTTATGATTTCACAGGCCAAAATCCAGGTTTATGTGCCGGTCCTGACCCAATGTGGTGTTGTTGTTGGGGTTTGGTGCCATGGCAGTTGCGGNCAGGCGGTGCCGGCTGCGGCCGGCCGTGGCCGCATGCTTGGGTTCAAAGCCCACGTGATGAGCCACAAACGCATGCAGCTCGGCAATGACCATGCTGTTTCTTCTCCAGGCTCCTGCTGCTTGCCTGCTGACACAGCGATGGTTGCACTCTACATCACACGTCTGTCTCCCAGGCGCCTGCTTGGCCAGGCTAGGTGGCCCTGAACACTGTTCTTGTCGCAGCATCCTTCATAGCAGTTGTTGACGGCAGGCACTGGTGCTGTAGTTGTGCAGTGAGAAGTGCAGATTGCACGGTCACCTTTGGATGTACCTGTTCACACTCTCTGAAAAGACACGTTAACACAGCAGCGCAGTCTGGCAGCCACTTCACTCGTTGATTGCGGTTTTTGTGCAAAGCATCTTGTGCAGCTGCTCATTCAACCCTGCGCCAAATTGCCCCCCCCCCTCATAGCAGTGAGTTCGTACCACACTTGCCTGAGCGCACAGGCAACACTCCTGCACACCGCAACCCCCCCCTTGTAGATCTGCACGCGTTGATGTAGTCCAACCTCCCTTATGCGTGGATGCATACAGGTCTGGATGTGCTCCCATTGTATGCCCTCAGATGCCATCGCAAGTTGAGTCGATGCACAAATAACAGCCCCTAAATTCCTGATTACTTTGGTTGCTTATCCTGCCCCTTGTTGATCAGTTTGCAGATTCTTGCTCGTGCACGCTCACCCACTTCGATGGTTGGGGCCCTTTGTTCAGACCCTTGATTGGAAGTGGCCAGGGCAGCAGAGCCAGCCGCCAACGCGTGCCGCATCTGCAGATGCAGTCGTCGTTGTTTGCGTTGTTTGTTTCAAGCTGCTTTTGGGTTGTGGCAGCTCTGATGTGAAGCTGGTGGATTGGAGATTCTGGTTGGCAGGTGCCGGGGTGTTGAGCGTTGTGGAGTTGAGCACATGTGAAGCTTGCATTTGTATGTGTGTGCGCACGCAGCGGTGTTGCAGAGATATACTTGTCCTGGCCATGCAAATCAACTCGGCCAACGCTTTTACATGCCCATCGATGTTGCAAATGTGTAGGCCTAAACAAAATTGAAGCGGGTGTTTGAGTACAGGCTTTCGAGCCTCATGAACACGGTGTTGCCAGTTGCGTCCTGCTCAGCCTTCTTCAGGCGCACCTCAACAGTCAAGGAACAGCGTGATGAGAAAAAGGCCCACACATGCTCAAGCAGCAGCTCCAGCCGCTTGCGACCCATGGGGTGGAAAGCCGGACCAAAGTGGGTGCAGTCAATGCACAGAAGCCGCAGGTTTGGGTACAAAGGCACCGCCCCCGAATCCGCGCTGCCGTGCAGGGCCCACCGACGCGGGTCCCGAGGCCACTGCCAGCCCTCGAGGCAGAGCACCCGCGCCTGCGCCAGGCCGGACAGGCCCTGGCGCAGCAGCATGGGCAGCGTGAACGGAAGACAGAGGGTCAGGTCCTCAAAGGCCCGCCAATACGTCCGCGCCGCCCTGGCAAGGTGCGCCAACTCCAAAGCGATCTGCTCCTCATCCACGACCAAGCATTCCTCAAAGGTCGGCGGCCGGAACACGAGCGTCCGCACGGTGGGCGGGGCGTCGACCGAAAGCTGCAGCGCCGCAAAGTGCTGCGGCAGGTCGAGCTCCTCTGGCTCCTCCAGTTTGCAGTCGAGGCCCAGCTCCCGCCAGTCGTACTCAAGGGTCTCCAGCGCAGTGTGGCCGCGCAGCAGGTCCGTGATGAAGTCATCGCGCCTGGCCAGCGGCACAGAGAGCGCGCGCAGCCTGGGCGCGACCCGTGACAGTACGCCCGGCGCCAGCCCGACGTCGTGCAGGGTGTGCAGCTTCAGGGTGCGCAGCGCGGGCATGGTGATGGCGGCGGTGTTCCAGTCGCCAGTGTCGCGGAGGTCGACTTCAAAGTCCCAGCCTACGACGGCTAGGGTCACCAGGCTGGGGCAGGCGGCGGCGATGGCGGCGAGCACGCTGGTGTCGAGGGTCTCATCTGTGGCGGTTGTGGGACAAAAAGGTGGGTGGAGGTGGGGTGAGGGGGTTGGGTGCAGGTGGGCAAGGGGG